AAAGAAATCACAATGCATCGTCAAACCTGCTAGTCTTTTAGGAAATAAAGTGTGGAAAAATACTAGGCACAGAGACAACAGGGGGAGGGGAGTGGGGGAGGATGGAAAGAAAGCTTTCACATAAGAAACAAAACAGGATAATGATGAGTAAGTAGAAATATTAGTGCCATCAAGAACCTGTATTGGGGTAAACTGGGAAACAACCGCACACGCCAGCTGCCTAGGAAAATGCGGAGTTCATTGCTTGGCATAATGCTATTTGCTTTCTTCTTCTGCCACGTTACAGATGCTGAAAAGGTAATGTAAGGCTTTCTTTTTCCCCCCTTATGAAACAGCAAGTTTAAGATCAGAATTCAAATCCAGATTAGGCCTTTTCCCTTTAGTGCCGAATGGCATTATATTATTTTTCCAGGACTTGGGAGACCAAAAGCCCTTCAGCCTCAGAGTCAAACCTGTGACGACCCTCCTTGCAGCCAGGATGGGGCAGCATCTCCTGGACTCTGAGCTCGTGGATGTGGCACCAGTTCCTCACACTGAAAATGGCAGGAGCAAACCCCATGGATCAAACGAAGAAATGTGTGGCTGTGTCGAAATCAATGCAAAATAGGTGAAGAGATTTTAGTTTCTGCTCTGAAGAGCTGCCCAACTTTCCAAGTCAATTCCTCTTTCCAGCTGCTCTTTCTAGTTTCCTTCAGCGGATTTGCTGGCCACTATCTCCTCATCAGGAGCTGCTTGCTTAAGTTTTTTCTAACCTAAACAATGATCAAACATATATTACATAAATACCTTGCTGAGGAAGGGCAGGCAGTTTCAGTTCTCTGAATTAAATGGCAAAAATGAAGATGGGATCTCACATCAAATGGGAATAACCTGTTCTCGGTCAATCCTGTACTCAACCATGTTGCATTAGACCTGTGGGCTTTTAGCCATTTTTATCAGAATATATTTTGCATCTGAAACTAATTGCTTTCATCAAAGGCAGGCCTACTGAAGGAAATGGGATTTTTTTTTCTAGCTACCATGTCATTCCAGGTTTTAAAAATAGTAGTTTCCATCTTAAATCTCATTTTCAGTCATAGGTGGTAGAGGAAAAGAGGCATTTTGCCTTGTCAGAGACTTGGCTCTTCAAGTGTCAGATACAGTGAAATAGATTTATTTAATTACAAAGCAAAAGTTTAAATATTGCCAGCTCTTTGGGAAGATAACTGAAGAATACAAAAACATCTCAAGATTTGTCTATCTGTTGATTGTAGTCACTGAATAAAATTTAGAGAAAAAGTGGAATTTACAGAACTATTTTCTCTGCCCTGCTAACCACAGTAGAAGCTCACTGGCCAGACTTGAAAACTTTGATGGCAAGACATGGTTCTGATTTTTTTTCTTTTAACTTTGAATGATTTAATACATCAGAGTAAATTGGACTTAATATAGGCTTAAAACTTAATTTTAAATAGTTTTACTCAAGAAAGATTTTTTTTAAACTTAATTTAAACCCCCAATTTATTTTTTTAGCCATTGATTTTTATCCATCCTGCTGTTCCTCTTCATTAAGGGGAGAACGACCATGATGCCTCAACAGAACAGAGCTCTGATCTTTCTCCCGGGGCTTGTTTCCCCTTTATACCAATATTAAATATGAAGGGTCTACAGAATCTTAAATAAGAAGAAGAAATGAGTTTCTAGGCTGGTGAGGGGAGGGATTAAGCCAGAGAAGAAGCCTACGGGAGCGGAGAGCTCCATAAACAGACTGACACCCGAGGGCAGCTTCCAGTGCCATTAGCTTCCCTGGGCTGAACCACCAATTAACACCAGCCCTGGCTTCAGGCCAGGCCTCCAAAATCCCACCAGTGACGTTCTCGGGCCTGCGTCCCTCTTGTAAAACAGGGCTATTTGTAACAAACAATACACAAGCTTAGCTACCAAGGAACAACAGCCTCGCTTTTGCCTTTGCTTTTGACTGTGGAGCTGCTCTCTCATGAGAAAGCGTCAGCGAGCGCATTTACATTTTAACATGGGACTAAACTGATATTGGAGCCAAAATTTCCATCAGGGTCTTATTCACTGGAAGAATCACTGGCTGGGGAAGATACAGTATGTGACACAGTTCTCTCTCCTTACTTACTGCTCACAAATACTGCTCTTAGAGCCTTCCCTAGGGCAGAATACCTAAGGAGAAACAATGTCTCTTGGATTCAAAAGCCTTTATCTTTTATATTTTCTCACCTGCACTGGCCATTTTATGTGTTTTACTAAAGAAAGAGGATGGTCTTCAGAAAAGTAGGGCACATTTTTGGCCAACGTTTATAAAATCTCGAAGTTAAGAATGGTTGAAGGCAGGGACTTGCCAGAGGAGTTCAACACTCACACAAGTGTTTTAGCAACACAAGCTGGTTAAACCAACCCACCTTGCTCCTGGAATTAAGTTCCCTGAGGAGAACAGAGTGATTCCTCAGAGATTCAAAAGGTACACCTGTGTACACAAGAGTGAGCAAGGATTAAAAGGTTTGTCACCTCGAGAGATGGAAAACTGTTGAAAAACATGTTCTCCTTCCATTTTAATCATTGTAGGAAAAATGCTGTTCTGTTTTAGGGCTGTCTCAAGAAGATTCAAGTTTTCACTTGATATTTAGTTCTATTTTATTTGGCAAAATTTTCAGGACTTATCAAGTGAGCTCTGACGCTCTTTGATGAAAAGGTATGTATGATTTCCATACATATAAAGCAAAAATGACTGTCACAGATGCATCAGAGAGGAAAGAGGATCTTCAAATGAAGAGAGGAAATGGCAAAAACAGGAATATTGTTCTGCAGAGGAGGAAAGAAGACCAGTTACCAAGGCTGAGCATGCTAAGCCTGTCAAGCACTCAGGGAGACAGCTAAGTGCTTTATGTTCTCAAGTTGACCTTGTGTTAGTCCCCTGACTTCCACATCTCTGCAATTCTGCAGTACTTGGAAATACAGTTTTAAAAACTTTCTGCAGAAATGGAGAACCCAGCCCTCAATATCTGTGAGTAGAGATGCTGAGATAACTGCTTTGATCTGAATTTTGATATTCCCATTGCATTCCCTGTTAGCACTCTTTCTTCAGTGAGCAGTTTCCCTGTAAAACTGCCAAGAGAACTGCTTTCTCCTGGCACCTCAACTAGCAGCTTCCACTGGGAAAGAGAAGCACGTGAGAAACTGGAAGGCAGCAGTATTTAAAGATGTGAGCTACTGTGAAAAACTGATGGAAGAAGAAATGAAGAAAAGGCCAATGAAAAGGAAAAGAGTAAAGGAAAGTGGTCAAAAAATCTAGAGAAGTTTAAAATAAAGAGTGAGGGAAAGAAGAGGATAGAAGGGCTTAGAATAATGAGATGCTGTCATAGAATAAAAATTCAACAAATAAAGTGCTCAAGGAAAAAAAAAAAAAAAAGGAAAGTAGTTGTAGAAATTACCAAAATAAACAAGTGGAAAAAAAAAAAAAAGAGAGAAAATGAAGGAGAAGGCTAATTTAAGATGTACAAGTTACTGTTACTATAACTTGCTAGGGGAGAAATGGGAACGATCTTCCAAAGCTGCACTGTCAATCAAAAAGCTCATGTAAACCTTACTAATTTCCATTAAGAAAATCATTACTCTTTACATTTTAATTTTCTTCAAAAAACATGAGTGAAGACTTCCAAATTTCTCACAAACCGCAAGAATTTTCTTCATGAAAATAAAAATTTCAAGCAGACAGTGTATTGCAGCTCCGTGTCAAAAGATTTCAGAGAATCCTAAGAATAGAAGTGACTTTCCTCTGTCAAAAGAAAACAAAACAAAAAAATCCCAGAGCACATTCCCACAGCAATTTCTTGCTCAGAAATTGCTCAAAGTTTATAGGGAGAGGTGGGAGTTTTCAGAAGGCTCTTTTTGTTACCCTCATGTAAGCAATATAAAGTCAGATGAATACCTGCATTTTAGGTTTGTGGCAGAAATGAGATACTAAATCTCTGTGCCACCTGCCTAGTGCATTTTTGCTACCCTTCGTTCAGCCAGCAGTTCCTTCCTTCAGTAATTTCTGTGAAAAACACTCCAAAAAGTTATTTCATAAACTATATTACACTGAAACATGTTGAGAACTTGGTGCAGAGACTTGTATTAGTGCTTTTCTAGGGAAAAAGAGTTTATTTTATTTTAGATCTATTACTGCTAGGAAAGATCTAAACCAAGATACCTTTTTATATTTGACCATTTATTATATTGTTTCTTTCACTTAGAAAGTTCTTTGGTATGCATGAGATTAGGGATTTTTCTATGCTATTTTCAGGATATAGAGGCAGAGAATTCAAGTAAAAACACTAGCGGTGAGGGCTTGTAACATGAATATCACAAAAATAAGCGTTTCTGTGACAAGTTCCATTTCAGGACTGTTAGCCAGACCTCTTGTAATAAATATAGGGTTTCCTAAACAGGAAACCTCAGGAAAATTCATCTGAATGAACTGAAGTTGTGAGCTAATGTTCCCAAGCACTTTCCTGTAGGCAAGTACTTTGGAGTTCAACGTGCCACAATGCAGCACAGCTTGGGGACACAGCACAGCTTGGGGTCACACAGCTTGGCAATACCACAGCTCATGAGGACATCGTTTTTTAAACAAAAGATTTGAGCAGCAGCCCTGGATGTTGTAGCCATCCCTTGATAATTCCCTGCTTCGGGAAATTCTCTTTTTGACAGCCCATGGAATTCAAGTTCATCTTCCAGTTCTCAGACATGTGATGCCTTCTATACTGACAGCACATAGCATTCCTTATGTTACACTCATAAGATTTACAGAGGCCTAACTATATTCCTTACCTGTCTACCCTTATAAACTAAACTTCTAATTTTCTCAGAGGATAAAGACTGGCTTATTTGAAAAGAACTATTTACCATGTCGATTACCACTGGTTTTGTTCTCACCGTTACAAAAACTCTGTTAAAGAAATACTACAGCATCTATTTTGCTAGTTTACCACAGCAACTAAGAATTTTAGAATTACCTGAAGGTATGGAAGAGTTCCAGCTCTAATTTTCAGTTCACAGAAACATTACCACTTCCTAGAAAAGTTAAGAACCTAGGTAAGAGTAAAAATGAGGATAATTTATAACCACCACAAGTCCTCCTGGGTTTATAAACAAAATTGTCATGAAAGAAGTCATCTGAATCTGAAACAAAACCCAGCAGGGTTTCATATACTGTCTGTATCTTACCAGCTCCCATTTATATCTTCAGATGTCTGGGAGACAAAAGTACGGTAAATTAGTCATTGTATTAAAATGATGTGATTACACAAAGTATTATTAAATTAAAAACTGAATTGCCCCTAATGAATTGTATCTTTATGCAAAAAGTGACCTATTCTTGACCAAATTCAATCTTTGCATGTGAACAGGCATATGAAATATGGAAATAGGCATATTTCCATTCACTTCATTGGACTAGCACATAAGTATAAGCAGATGCAGGAGGCACTCTGTGATATATTTTCATTTCAAATATTTAAATTTCAGCGTATAACATACCAAAAATAATTTTTAAAAAAGTAAGACTGTGGCATTCATACCAGAGCTACAAAGTACATAGGCCAGAAAGATATTTAGGTCAGCATTTTCTTTTCTTCTTAGGGTGGCATGCTAGGCATGCAGTCTGCAGCTAGAAAAACCTCTGACTCATACAGGATGTATGAGGAGAGAGGGTTAGCTAAAATGTGGCACTATCACCCTAACACCAGAGAGATTATAATCCGCAGCTTTTGTGGTACATGCACTCCAAAATATCCAATATGTCTTTCCTAACTATAGCTTTTATAGTCTGATATTTGAAAATAAACTGCCCCTACATTGTTTTAAAAGTTGTTCTGACCCTAACTGAAGTCTCTTGAAGTTGTGTTTAGTGTTCTTCAACTCAATTGCAAAATTCTTAGTGGTTCCAACAGGGTGAGGCTGCTACTCAGCAAGTTTCTCAAAGGGAAGCTTTGCTCTGTAGAGCAGAGCATTAGTCTCAGTGACAGGAACCAGGATTTGTTTCCGAGAACAAGACCAAAAAGGATGTGGGTCCATGAGAATGCTCCTTATTGCACAGAAGCTCTAGAGAAGAGAAACTCAGGCAGAACAAGGCAAACACTCGGTGTTCCCAAAGTTGCCTCTTGTCCACTTACACCTTAAACAATAAGTTCCTCTAAAAAAAATAATGCCCTGCATCCGGCAAAGGAGGTTGCTTTGAACAATTTGGAACAGAGAGACCATTATGGCTTTAAACTCATTATATAAAATAAAACATATTTTTTAAATTTATAAATAAACTTAATACGCTCAGAGAAGAGAGCAAATTATTACATATTGAGAACAGATGGGAAAATGTTAGACCATGGCTACTTGTATTTCCTGCATTTTACAGCTGGTTTAAAAGTATGAAGCATGCAAAGCTCTAAGCTACTCAGAACAAGTGATCACAATGACCGAATCCTGTCCCCTTCATGCAGGTTGGTTCCTTCTGCCTTTGCTTCAGCTGAAAGCTACACGTTCCTGAGCGGAGTGCTTTGACTTGGGGCTGATCTCAAAGCCTCTTTAGGACAACTCAGGAACTAACCCAAGTCACTAACTCCCTCCCTGATCCTTTGCCTTCTCCTGTGCATAAAGGATAGGGACTGTCCAAACCACTCCTAACCTCATCTCTCCCGAGCGGAGCTGGTATTTGCAGCAAGTCCCTTCCTCTTCCCTGGCTGCCCTTGATGCACCCTAATCTCTGCAGCATTTTCAACCTCAGAAAATAAGAAAGGCATCTTTATTTCCTCTGAGAAGAGAAACAGGAGCTGTTTAGCACCAAGAATATTTTCTTCTTGTTTAAGCTGTTGTGAACACGGTCCATGTTGGAKRSMAAAAAAAAAARGRAAAAAAAAAAAAAAAARAMAAAAAACCCCAAAAAGCTCCCCAAGAACAAACTGCTGGCGTCACTATATTTAAAACAAAAAATCGAGTTGATAGATGCAGCCAAACACTATGAGAGAGTTCCTTTTAACCTGAAACTCTGCCTGTGGGCCACATCATCCTAAGAGCTCTTTGATACAAGATAGGAACTAATGCTAGGGGCGGATCCAGGACTGCACACAGGTACCTGCTGATTTGCCAACTCGCGGGTTTTGAAAGTCTCCTAGCCTGCTCTTGGCACCTCTTGTCAGTCACTGACAGGAAGATCTTCTTCTGTAAAGGGCGATTTGCACAGCGGGGGACCTGCAAAGCAGCTGCCGCAGGTACTGTAAAGAAAATACAAGAAGCAAATCATGTAAAAATGAGATGAAAGAAAGGAACAAGAGAGGGAGGGGAGAAATTTGCTCTCGCAAAAAAATGGGACATGGAGCAAAGGGGATGGAAAGGAAGAAAGCTATGGAAATGTGAGAGCCTCTGAGCGGACTGGTGAAGGATGCCAAAGGCAGGAGAGCTGAGGAGGGCCAGCTCACAGGCAGGAGGTGCCGGGGCCTCGGAGCACCCCTGGTGCACAGGAGGGAGCGGCGTGTTCCGCTCCGGCCGCGCTCCTGCCTCCCACGGGCCGGGGATGCTCCAAGGCCTCCTGGGCCAGGTGCTCCTGGCAGGGCCTGGGCACTGCAGCCCTGGCTGCGGGCAGCTCTTGGGGGGATGCGGGCAGAGGGACCATGTGCACGTGGGCTGTGCCCCTCCAAGGCAGGCCGGGGTTAGTTACAGGTGCCAACGGGGCCACATCGGCTTCGGCTTCTCGCAGCCGGGAAGCAGAAAACAACGTGCTGCACTCGGGCTTCACGAGCCACAAATCTAAAGCCAAACCGAGGATTACTTTAGGTTTTACTTTAGGTTTTCTGCAAAGAAGTTTGGCCACACTGTAGCTTCTCTCTTCCTGCCCAAACCTTTTCTTTTTCTGCAACTAGTTACCAATTTTTTGAGGCTTTCTCTTTCCCACCTCCGCCTCTCCTCTCCCTGGATCTGTGAGCACAAAGAAGTCTCGTCACAAAGAGAATAAAACCTAAAATTTTTCCCTAACAAAGCCTTCATGAAACATTACTTCTCTCTAAAGGTTTTAAACAGAGAAAAAGGTACCTTTGACATGTTAATATAAACAGAAGATGAGCAGAGTATATCAAATAATAGAAAAATACAAAGAGGTGAATGAGATGAATAGCTGAGTTATCACACAATTAAAAAAAAAAAAAAAAAAAAAAGTGAATCAAGATCATTCAGCCTACAGGTTTGGGAAAGGTTTTCCTGCCCTCCCCAGCCAACATGCTTGGAGCTGTGACCTGTATGGGGCCTGGGGGTTTAATCACAGCGTGTTTGCTGGGAGTGCAGCAGCCCCTCAGCCGCTCCAGGGAAAGCAGCTCCCTGGAAAGCTCCAGGGAAAGCATTCATATCAATATGGAATCATGTTGTCCAGCTTGTTAAAATGACTACAACTAAGAGAATGCCCAGGAGTGACCACAGGAAAATCAGGCCTTTGAAAAGTATTTTGGAGGTAAAATTAGATATTGACCCCAATGATAAAGGGATGACAAGGGTCCCAACTGCCTGTATGTGTAGGAGATGAGATGTGTAGGAGACACTTTATGCCCTAAAACCACAATAATCTTTGCATTAGGATAGCACTCAAAGACCTTCCCATGCTGCTAACACGCCTTTGGAAGGGGAACAGACCTTCCCAGGGACAAAATAGAGCAGATTTGGTCAGAGGATGTTGACCAGTTTCAGGCCAGATCCTCAGCTGCTGTACTGTATCCTGGAGGCACCCACTGAATCATTTGCAGCTTTCTATCACTCAGCAAGAGAAACATTTAAGATTGAGGCTAGCCATTAGAACAGCAGTGGTAGAACTACAAAATTAATGAATAGCATAATTAAAATAAGCAGTTTTATACCGAACTGAAAGGAGGAAACACCTACCTGCAGAATGGAAAACCTTGAACTAAAGAATTTTTAATTAATTTTCTAGAATTGGGCACCTTCTTTCATCACTATCATCATTCCTTCTTTCCTTAGCTACTGGGAACAATTATGAGACATTTGAAACATATGCATTTATCAGAATCATAGAAAATATATTTTCGATCTTTATTTCACAGAGCATAGCCATGGACAAATGTCACACCTCCCTTCCAGCTCTGTAGAGCTGCCTTCATTGTAAGTATTTTCTGCCAAAATGCCTACGTGGCTTGGAGGAGCTTTCCAGAAAACATGAAGCCATTTTTCCTCCACTTTGCAAGTTACATGAACCCCCCTGACCCTACCTCATCCAAGTTAGAAAGGCACAACTAACTAAGCATAGTTTACAATTTTAATATGAATGACAACTTCACCAGAACTTCTTTTTCCACAGTTGAAGTGTCAGCACAGACTATGAGATGCCCAAGCCCCTCTGCAGAGCCCCTTAGCCTGCAGTGGCAACACAGACACATCCCCAGGTGTTTCAGCTTTGCTCTCTTCCACATCAATCAGCATTACAGCAGTAGCACAACCAAAGCACATTTCTATGACCAGCAGATTAACTCAGGCACCAGCAGAGATAAAATGCTGTAGAAAGCACTTTTTAAAAGATGTTTTGCATCAGATTTTTGCTGCTGGTAGTCATCCCGCTGGAAGGCCATGGTACGGAGAGGACCAGTGTATCTGGTGTCTCGGTGCCACTGCTAAATTGCCTTCCTGTTTCCCATCTTCTTCCAAACATTTCTGTGAGATTATGCTCGAAATCCTGGCCCCCTTAGGTCAATGGCAAAACATCCATTGACTTCAATGGGCCAGGATTTCTCCCTATGTATGTTGGCACAGAGTCCCGTGATTTCATTCCAGGCTACAAAGTGCTTGGAATAGTTCTCTGCTAAATAATAAATGTATGAAGAGGGTGAACCTCTCTAGGATAAGGCTCCTGTTTTCTTCTGTCTTAAATTCTGTCCTTAAGAGGTTGCCACAGGCTAGGTTGGCCACAAGGTGCTAAAACTCTGGTACTTGACGAGCGCGTCCCATAGACATCCTACAGGACGACTGTGCTTAAAAATCAAATGTAAGCTTAACCTGATTTTAACGTTTCACCATTTATCTAAAATATCTGTTTCATTAAGGTGTATTTGAGAGCCTTCTCCTGAAAGATTTGAAAATATTATTGCCCTAAATAAGCTCCACTATAAATTAACAGAAATCAATAAAAATAATGAAAGCAGCAACCTCTGTGTCATAATTTATCATTCAACTGCTACAAGAATTCAAAAAAAGTGTTGAATAAGCCTGAACAGGCACTTGAAAAAATAGACCAGCAGGAAAGCAAACACAAGGGGCAGAAAAGCAGAATAAACACAGGCAGCCCCTCCGAGAGGAACCGTATCGGAAGACCCCCTACCAGGTTTCAATAAACGCGGACAAGTCCAACTCAAGATTACAAATGGTGTCACAGGCTGTGAAGGGCCCAGTCCCTTTGTACACAAACACCCATGGCCATGGAGATCCAACATTTCTTTCACAGGCCTTTTGAGAAATGTGACTCTGCAGCATCTCGTTTGCACCACCCAGCCAGGGAGCATTAGCTCTCCCAATACACGGCAGAGTGAGATATCACAGCGTGCAGCTTCTGCTCTCGCCTCTGCTGGTCATCTTAAACCTCACCTTGAAGAGCATAAAACAAAGGTTAAAGATAGTACGTACTACCTTTTTCTCTGCTCCTTGTTGGGCTATGGATTAAAAGTTCTTTCAAGCACGCACTGTTTATTTTTACTGATTTGTTCATAGAAACCATGGAGATTCTTCATTAAACATCCAATCTCTACATGTGACAAGGCCAAGATACGTCAAGGTAAAAAAACTTAGGGGTTAAAACATTTGTGGATGTTTTGCATGACAGAGGAAAAAGTTGTTTGTTCAGTCACTTCTAAGATGTTTCAAGACTGTCTCAAAATCTATCCTCAGGATGAGAAAAAAATATATATAAAATTGGTTATTTTTAGTTAAGAAAAACAGATATGTCCTCATTGCTCTCTCTACTGCTAGTCTTGGAAAGAAGACAAGGCAATAAATTCAGCATTAGCCTCAACTGTATCTGTTCCTTCCAACTGCAAAGGCTTTGTGTCTGGTTGGTTAAGACTAATACAACAAGCCAGATTATGATGTGCTCCTGAACGATGGTGCCTCCGAAATAGCAGGATGTTATGGGGAGCATGGATTAATATGTTGTGCAAGAGAAAATAGTTCTCACTATTTTCGAAGCATTATGAATGAAGGGTTTGTAGAAAGGATCCTTTAGCCTCCTGGTGCTAGCGTGCCAATCCAGTAAAGGCTGTGCTTGTGTTAAATTTAAGGGAATATTCATGTTCTGAAAATTAGGCAGATGCTTAGTGTTTTCCTGCATCAGAACACCTGCCTGTTTCTGTGTCCTTCTTAGTTTATAGCTTGTTTTGAAGCTGCTGCTCAAAACTTTCCCAGATCTGCTGATGATGCTCACTAGGATGCAAGAAGATAAAGTTACAAAAAAATTTAAATATCTGTATTTACTTTTGTTACTTTGCTTATCTTAATTTTCAATAAATAAAGAGACCATAAACTGCTTTGGAATGTACCTGTATCTTATTGGCTATGACTTTGTAATCTCCTGAAGGAACAGATGTAGCATTTGCCTAAGACCCTCCTCTTTTCCCAGCCCCAACTACAAGAGTGCATCACATTTCCCTTCATTTTCTAAATCCTACTGCAGCAATTTGAGAAGGATGTTGATCCAAGAGCAGGAAACGCAGGCAAAATTTTTGGACTCTGGACCCAGCTCCAGAGCAAAGTCTGAAACCTCATTACTACTTGTTCATAGTGCGGTTCCTAGGTACAATATCAAGCATGCACTAAAGTGCTTTCAGAGTCCAGTTTTCCACCTCACTTGAACAGTCTACAAAATGTTTTCAAGAAGCTACTCCAAAGCAACACAGAAATCTTGAGAGGAGTAATTATTTTCTAAGAGCACCAAGGACCTCAGAGACCACTAGCTGAGCCCCACATATTTGCAGGAGTCTCAGTGGATTCCATGGCTGGTGAAACCTCAGACCAGACACAGATAATCTTACTTGGCTTTCAGCATGCAGCCGTTAGAGGTGAGTGGTGATAACGCTGCTCTGACTGCACTTTTGTCCTGCAGAAAGCACATTTAACAGCACACGCTGTATCAAGTCTCACATTAATAAATGATGTAATTCATTTCAATTAGAAATATTGCTATAAGCACCATGTAGTGT